ATCTATCTATCTATCTATCTATCTATCTATCTATCCATCCATCCATTCATCCTCCAATAACTCCATCCATCCATCCATCCAACCATCCATCCAACCTCTAATCTATCTATCATCCATCCATCCATCCATCCATCCACCTATCCATCCTCTAATCTATCCAACCATCCATCCATCCTCTAATCTATCCATCCATCCATCCATCCATCCATCCATCCATCCATCCTCTAATCCATCCATCCATCCATCCATCCATCCATCCATCCATCCATCCATTCATCCATCCTCTAATCTATCCAACCATCCATCCATCCATCCTCTAATCTATCCATCCATCCATCCATCCATCCATCCATCCATCCATCCATCCATCCATGTTTTTCTTCTTCATTCTGTGTTGTGAGGTAGCTGATGCCTGTCATCAGAAGTCACTGTGTGAGGCAGGGTTCATCTGAACCAGTCACAACTGTTTGAGCTCAGAACCAAACTTTAACCAGGCCTTGTTCTGCTGGAAAGGCATGGAGATAAACTGACCAGAATCACAGGAGCTGGAAAGTCAAATATGTGTGAAATTGTGTTGTCCAGGTCTTTTTATCTGCTGTGGTGGTATGCCTCTCAGGTAGTGAGAGAGTCAGTGTCTGATACAGTATTCCTTTTGTTTTCTGCAGAGTAACTTGTTCACAGGCATCTGTCTGTTCTTTGTTTTGAGCTCCTCTGTAGGATTTCTACCAACACAAACTGAGATCCTGCTCTTATTTAATCTTTAAATGTGCATGAAACACTTCAACACTGACAAGGTGAACCTCTTCAGTTTAACTGAACTGATTGTTGCGACACGACTCCTTTGTGTTTGCAGGTTCCCCGCTGAGTGATGAAGTACATTTGATGTGTTCCCAGAATGTGTTAGCTCTCTCACAGCACTCATCACCTATCACAACAGGTATTTGTAACAGTGTCAGCTGGTGTTAGCTTCCTCAGATGTCAAAGAACTCTGTAATTTTACAAAACATGAACAATTAAGGCTACATTGGAGGACTAGGAAGCAGAAACTTGGCATTGCTGCATTTTCTGTCTCAAGTGGTGAAAACAACAAATGAAAGTTTGCTATTACCAACAAAACTCAGCAACTTTTCTAATAAAGACTCAAATGTGTCAAAATGTACTTAAGACACTTTAATTGTTCAGAAAAATCTAATTATAATATTTTGGTATGTGACCTCAAATATTGTCTGTTTCTGAAACTAAAACAGACAAGCTGTGCTTTCTCATCATTTTTCTAACCCAAACAAGACAAAACAAAGCATGGAAATCGAAAAAATAGAATAAAACAATAATATCTGATTTAAAAAAATATATGTTTATGTTGTCCTCAACTGCAGAAAGAACAACTTAAAGAATAATGGTGTCTGTGTTGTCAATCACACACTAACAGATGGGATAATCTTGGCCAACGATCATATTCTAATAAAAGCATTTTGAGTTCATGTTGTTGGAGAGGAAGTATGACTTCTTAATAACTATTAAATCATCTCAGATCTGCTGCATGGAGGCCAGACAGTTAAATAATCTCTTCCTGGTTTGAAAGAGAAGAAGTCAAAGACAGACACCTTGTGGTTATAAAGTAACATTACATTTCGGTTCATTTCTGTGAAACAGAACAATAAATTACAAAACAAATCATTAACATTTATTTTAATAAATGTACAGTAAAAAATAATAAATATTTGAACAAGTTTTTTAATACCCAAACACCTGCTGAAATTTTTGAAAGCCTGGTGATTTGTCTTTAAAAGATCAAAAAGAAGAAAAACTTTCTAACATTAAGTTACCTTTGAGTTTTTTTAATCAGAATGTTTTTTTTGTCTTTAAGGAAGAAGACGTTTCAGTGCAGTTTTCCAACAGACTGAAAACTACATGAGGATATTTATCAGATATATTAGTTCAAGATTCAAGATTTAAAGTGTTTATTGTCATATGCGTAGATGAAAAACATGTTTCACTGAGCAATGAAATTCCTACTTTGTCGTCCATTTTTGAATGCCGAGAGAAAAGCATATTAGAAAAAGAAACGAATCATCACTGAAAGGACACAAACAATGTTGATTAAATAAAAAAAGAAACTAAGGATAATAACATTTGAAGGGAACAATATAATAATGGCAACAAGAAGGGAACTGTACAATCTGTTTTTAAAGTGTAATGTGCACATGTGCAATAACAATAATAGTCTGAATAATGTTACGTTCAGCTGTTTAAGAGTCTGGTGGCACTTGGGAAAAACGAGTTCTTGTATCTGGAGGTTCTGCATGTCACACTTTTGTAATCTCTAATAATAATAATCCAATAATCTCTAATAAATCTTTAATAAGGAGGACGTTCAAGCATGGACGCCACTTCGCAAAAAAGATTTTATCTTTTTGTCAGAAAACTGAACATTATTAATCCTCGGAGCTGAGTTATGGGAGCAGTCTTGATTGCTGCCCTCTGGGTGTGTGAGAAATATTATCACTGACACCATTTTATTCTTTTATTCTCATTCATCTGTGTTTTCTCGTGGGACTGAACCGAACCAAAGGAAACAAAGGTTTTAGAAAATAAACAGAAACTTTAGAGCTCTTGGGTGTCCATGTGAACAAATAAAAGCCAGATGAGGACAAAGGACACCAGAGAATCAGCTAAAGGACAATGAAGATGCTGTAACAATGATGACAGTGAGAATGTCTCACATTTCAGATGACAAAAACACAAATAACAAAATAACAGGAGCACCATGTTGGCTTAGAGATTAATGTAGTTGCCTCGCAGCACAGAATATGTGTAAAAATACATATATTCAAGTTTGCATATGTAGTGAAAATAGGAGTTATTTTTATACTTTGAACAATTATCAATGCTATCAACATGGTATTTTTCAACACTTTAAGTACACAGTGACACTGCTTGAAGTTTTACCAGGGCCTGGAAACTTGCAAATGAAAATTAACATTTTATTTTTTGTTATAAAATGTTATTAATTCGAGTAACAATCAGTGTTTTCATTAGTCAGGGTCAGTGTGTGTTTAATCAGAAAACCAAGGTTACAAAAACACTGAAGAAACTGTTTTTGTGTGAACTGTATCTGATAACTGGAGCAGTGATAAAAGCACGAGTTAATGCTTCATTTGAGAGAGAGAGAACTGTTCAGCAGTGCAAAAGCTTTTCTAATATGTGAAGAAAAAAATCCTCTCCAGCTGATTGAGTAAAAGTACTCACAAGTACTACAGCTGTTATGTCACAGACACCAAGCTGCCAGTACTTCTACGTCAGTTTACTAATTGGCTCAAGGATCTATAATTATCTTGAGCTTTACCCCGGGTTAGACATGGTGTCCTGGTGACAGTCAGGTCACTGTTAGATGATGTTTTTTTCCCCCTCATTTGAACTTTTAATTTTCTTTTTGTTATAAAGCAATTGATCTGAAAATTGTGGAGATTTTCTTTCCTTTTTCAAACAGCAGGAGTCACTGTTCAAACATGGAAAAACTTCTGTCAGCATTTCCCCAAAGCTGAACAACAATAAACTGAATCAATTGTTGCAGCTTTGCTGAATCCTAGAAGTTTTATGAGATCTGTTGATGTGTGAGCAAAGGAGCAGGAAGTCGGGTCTGAAGCAGACACACAAGCCTGATGTGTGTCCAAACTGGAACTGCTTGTAAAACTTCCTCCTTCACCCTGTGACCCCAGATAAGGCCCAGCAGAAAATACCAACATTCCCCAAAGTGATACAATATACAGAGAAAGTATCTCACGTTTTAGACCTGGAAAACATTTATGTAGTTTGTTGGTCACATAATCACTGGCTCATCTTATAAAAGAAAAGAAAATACACAAAATTTAGTATTACCTGTTTTCATTTTTTTATTTTTGTTATTAAACATATCTGGATAAAGCCTGACATCCCTAGGAAGATAAAGTTATTCTCAGTAAAATACAGAGTAGCTCTTTGAGTATGTGTTGTAAATGACTGTCAGTTACCACATCAAGTGTCAGCACCATAAACTGATTTATAATCACGTTTTCGTATGTTAAGGTGAGTTATCTGTGGCGGCCATCTCGATTTGATTTGGCTTCAAAAGTAAACCAGTTGTTGTGGTACATCCAGTTATTATTCCCTGAAAGTGTTGCTAAAATCTGCCCAGTGCTTTATGAGATATTTTGCTAACAGACAGTAGATGAAGGGAAACACTGTGTTAACGAGGCTCAGGTGTTGGTCTCATCTGGTAATTAACTGAGTACTGAGGTGTAAAATGAAGTGATCCAACCACCTGTTAGTTCGGAGAGGGGGCGTGGCTTGTCCTCAGCGCTTCTGAAGGTGACCACGCCCAATCAGCTGGTTCCTGTCTGAAGTCCAGAGACGCTGTTGAGCAAACTTTTCCGGGCTGCTCTCCAGTTTCACGGTGAGCCCCGTGCTGTTGGGTGTAGGTTTGGTTCTGTTAAAGTCCGCAGGTGGGTGCCGTCATGTCCCTGACGGACCAGCAGTGGTGTCCCACGAGCGTCCAGGTAACGGTGCTCCAAGCCAGAGGCCTCCGGATCAAAGGGAAAAACGGCACCAATGACGCCTACGCGGTCATGCAGGTGGGCAAGGAGAAGTTCCAGACGTCCGTGGTGGAGAAGAGCGTGACTCCGGTGTGGAAGGAGGAGGCCACGTTCGACCTGCCGCAGCTGCTGCAGGGGGGGGGAGGAGGAGGAGGAGGAAAGGGACCCGACCGGAGCACCCTGCACGTCCACGTCCTGCACCGAGCCCTGGTGGGTCCAGACAAGCTGCTGGGTCAGGCTGTCATCAACCTGTTGCAGCTGAGTGAGGATCAAGGCCGGGAGAAGACTGAGTGAGTGCACACTGACAGAAACATCTTTTAATGGGAAATCACTCATTTTAAAGGTACTCATTGCAAAATATGGAATAAAACTTCAAATAAGGTTCATCCTGAACTAGATCAAATGGTGCAGTCTGAAAGAGTATTTATTTTATTTTATAGCACACCTTTATATATATATATATATATATATATATATATATAAATGAAGCAAGAGAAACTTTAACATTGCATGCATAAAAAGTATAGAACAAGTCGCTAAAAGCCTGTTAGATTCTTCAGTTGTTTTTGTTTATCTCAGTAAAGTTTATTCCAGCAGTTTTCCAGACATGATTTAGATTTTCTAAAATGCGGGTCCACATTTAATGTAAACACATCACTTAGCAGAGTCCCTCAAACCACAGGAAACCTGGAGTCACATGACTGACTTTCATTAGTCTGTAGAAAAACAAATGTGGCCGACAATTTTGTTTACTTCAGTTGTTTCTGTAAACAAAGTTGGTAGTTGTTATCTGGTCACAATTTCCTTGGAAATATCTAAGTTCAGGACATGTTAAGCCTTGATATGAGAGAAATAAAGTTCAGTTTTTGTTTTCTTACTTTATGATTTATTTATTTTAGTCTGATCTTAAGGATTTTGCATTGAGTACCTTAAAGGCTGGGAACTTGAGGATGACAAAAATGAATGCATCAACAATAAAGCGGGAATGGAACAGTAAACAAATGAGAACATGCATTTTTGATTATGTATTTTTTTACCATAAATTATATTTTTATAATGATTTATTATTGGGTGAATTTGGTATTCTTGTCTCAAGTACAGATTTTCTTACTTTACAGTTGATGTGTAAAACCTGTTCCTGTGCCTGTACACCTAAGAGGAACGAATCATTTTAAATATAACTAAACATTTAAAAAAGCTTTTTATAAAAAAGGTTAAAAGCAAGCTTCAGAATAAAGTTTCTTTTAAATGAGTTTGCCAAGTTCTCCTCGTTAGTTTGGTTCTCAAACATGAATTAAAACAGCTTTCGTGAGCAGTCAGGTATGTCTTATCCATCTGTTTTTGGCTCTGATTTCCCTGAAGTGAGGTTAGTAAAGCAGAATAAGGTTGTTTTGTTGTTTCCTAACAACTAAACAGGGAACTCATGTGAGTCGGAGTAAACAAACTGATCTGCATCACAAAGGAGCTACTTTTTGGTGTTTGTCTCCGGCAGTAGCGCTGCACCTGTGGACCTCCCAGAACAAATCTCTTTAATCCATCTTAAACTCTCAGTAAGCTTGTGATCAAACTCATAAATTGGCAGGTTTTTCATACACACGTGGTTTTGCCTTCCAGTGGCTCTGTTGGTTTGTAACAAAATCTCATAAACCACAAGGCTGGCTTTAACGAAACTTGGGTGCACCTTTTTTATTCTATCTTTTTGAAGTCAGCATGGCCTCCACAGCTACCTTTTTAGTAAAAACAAAAATTGGCTACAACTCCGTTAAGTTTAAAGTGATATAAATTCCTTGAAGGAATGCTGGGCCTTCGACATCGTCTCAAGTGTCCTTCAGAAGTGAGGAATGTTGCTCTTTCCGAGCGCGTGCACACACAGGCATGCACCGCTGCACAGGCCGGTTTTAATAGCTTTGTTTGATAATTGTTGCCCACTTGCCCCGGTGCCGCTTGAGGGATTTGTTCCCGTGGCAGCAGCCGCCCTGAAGGATGCCAAGCAGCATTACTTACTCAGGCTAATGAATGCAGCACGCTCAGATTTATTTTCATCGACTCGGCTCAAGTCCTCCATCGTCAACGAGAGACGTTTCCCAAAAATGATCCAAGCCTCTGCCTGAATTAGATTTTGCTCCTAAACATGTTTTTGTGTTTCATAAAAAAAGGGAATCAGGTATTGGTTTGTTGGGTTTTTGTGCTCCATTCTGGTCTTGGTTTTCCTCTGAAAGACATTTTTCCAAAGTTTTAGTTTCTTGAAGCCTTCATGACAAATCTGTTGGGCTTCTCTGCACACAGACAGTGAAATGGCTCATTTTAAGCAGGAAATTTTCTTTTTTTCTTTATTTTTAGAGCAGCCAGTCTCTGTCTTTTCAGATGTATTATAACTAATGACCCATCAAACACTAAATATTTCATGTTGTTTAAAATGCAAGACTAACCCGCCCATCACTGAAATGTTTTAAGTGTGAGTAAAAATCCCTCAATGTGTGATTCAAAAGCAGCAGGCTGTGTGCTTAAAGTGTATCTTAACCCCCCCCCCCCCCCCCCTGTGAAAAGATAACTCCACCCCAAGGTGAAATTTGAAAAATGCATCAAAGTGGTTAGGGGAGGGGGTTGGAGAGTGGAGGTGTGGCCAGGACGAGAGAATGTGACAGCTAGCATTAGCATAATTGATGCTACATGGAGAGTGACCACAGTATTGCAGATATTTACATCTCTGAACGGTCTGAGGTGGAGGATTTTCACCCCCCTCCTCACCAGAGGCAGAGAGAGACTTGATCAAGTCAGCTCAGTCTGGGACTGACTCATGTTTGCTCCCTCGATCAGGACATGAAGCTCCAACAGCCTTGGCTGAGCTGTCCGCCTCACACCGCACCGGACAGATGAGGAGGAGCGCTCCGCGACAGCCTGACAGAAAAAAATAAAAGCATACAGCTGCAGCTGCTCACAAGATCGCTAGTTTAAATCAGGAATAAAAGTGTTGGGTCTTGTTTGACTGAAATTTGGTCCATTAGGGCTGCAGCTGACCCCTGTCTTTCTGCCTTTTTTCCCCTCCTCCCCTCCCGCTGTGCAGGATGTACTGCTGGTGTGTGTGTGTGTGTGTGGAGAGGGGGAGAGAGAGAATCGCAGCAGTCACCTTTCCCCACCCGAGGCTGAAGGTCAACAGACGATCATGCTAAGCTTGCTAACTGTTCCACCCTCTGACTGCTGCAGGGGCGTGTCTTAGAGAGAGGCTTTTATACCAGAACACAGCCGCTGTGACGAAACCGTGGAGAAGACACGTCACCGTGGAGAGCTGTTAACCAATATGCAAATTAGCCTGCAGTACCACTGCTCTACCCATATGAGCAGCAAAAACATGTTTTTAGACCAAATATTACAGATTTGAACAAATAAGCACAAAAACATCAAAATTAGCACAGAAAAAGTACTATATAACATTTTAGACACATTCTAGGCAGTTTATCAGCTAAAAAAAGTTAATTTTGGGGTAAGTTACTCTTTAAAGACATTAACTTTATTTTTCTGTTTCCCGTCTGTTTAACGTCTCGGATTATTTCATGCAACGTGAGGCTCCATTTTTATGAAACGTTTGCCACAACGACTGTGAACAAAGTATTCCTTGAAGGAATGTACATCTCTAGTTCATTCCAGAGTTTCAAACTCGATGAGAGGAGACAAAGTTGGAGCTGTTTTTGGTCAAACCTTAAAGGCATGGTGGGAAATCATGAAACACTGAGATCTTGAAAAGTATTTTAGCCCACCAAACTCAAAATGTAAAGTAGCTGCTGAACGTCTGAGGATTGAGAATGTCATTAAAATCTGTCAGATATTTTGCTAACAATGTTGAGGTAATGCCAAACTTTTAAGCAACATTTGCTCTTGGAGTATGTTGTAAATAACTCAACTACTACCGCTACAAATTTTACTATTCCAATTTTTAAAAAACGTAATTTAAACAGAAAATTGGCAAATCTCATAAACCCATATTTTATTCACAAACGTGTCAAATGGTTAATTGAAGAAATCGTAACATTTTAGGTACAAAAATCATTATTTTGATATGAAGTAGGAGAAATGCAAAGTAAAAGAGCATAAAGTTTAGTTGTCATTGCATGTTTTTATTTTAACGTTTTTATTCATCAAGATTTTCTTTGTGAATTCAGCAGCTCATCTGTGTGAATGATTTTGTCTGTGAGCTCGACGAGTTCAGCCTGAAGTCTCAGTCCAGCGTTGGCCTTGGCATTCCTGACGGTTTTTATCAATGAAAAAACAAACAGTGAAAGTTACCCAAGTTCAGCTTTTTGTTTTTTCCTCAGGGTGACACCACAGTGACTGCACACGGTCTTCAATCACAGAAGTACAGAGAGGATACGCTGCTTTTCTGAAAGAAAAACTTCTTAAGTTGTTTTTGTAAAAGATGGTAGAAAATTATTACTGGTGAAGCAGTTTCTTGATTTGTTCAGGTCATCTGAACCTCACAATCTGCCAGCACTTAAACTAGGTGTCGCTTAATATCTATAAAACTGACCGACTGATAGTAATTTTTGTTTTTGCTATGGTTGATTGCCTGAGGCAGCCATCTTGAAAGGAGGTCATAAGATATGAAGCGTAGATGTGCGTTCAGTTTCAATAAAATGTATCCAGTTTCAACAACATTGCTTTTCTTTATGGTGATGACAAATGTTAAAACAGTCGTAAGCAAATGAATTGTATTCTTGAGCTTTTTTTTTTAAACAAAACAGGAACTAAAACATGTGCACAAGGGCATAAATTTAAAACGTATAAGGTATTTTATTCCATTAACTCAGGATTTAGCTGTTGATTTGCCACAGCTGTTAGTTTCTCTGGTGATTTAGCACCGCTGCTCTCTGCTTCACAAACACAACCAGACTTTTAACAGTTTCAGTTTTCAGGGACATTATCTCCATCGAGCTGTTTTACTTATTCAGCTGTTCTCCCACTCGCAGCTGCGCTGTGTGATAAGAAAGGCATGAGTCATCCTGGTTATTGTGTTCTGCACTCAGAAGGGGATGTGTGGAGAAAAGTCTGTTGAAAAATGTTCAGCAGGTCCAGTCATCCATTATCCTGCTCCTGGTTCTGTTTGTCCAGCACGACGGTACGTTTTCTACCGCTCAGATTAGCTGCAGAGCGTCATCCTTATCACCGTGTTCAGTAAAAGTCAGTTTAATTCCACCTTCAGGCACAGTGTTTGGTGCTCCACCCGTCCAACGTCACACACTCTAATGCAACTTCCCCTCTGATTCAACTGAAGGAACTTGGTTCTTCTCATTTTTGTTTGTTGTTGAGACGTCCATGCAGGGAATCAATATGCAGTCTGCTGCAGCCAAACTATTGTTCTAAACTTTTACCTTCTGCTTGTTAAAATACAATGAGATGCTGTTTGGTTGCTGTTGTTTTTCATGGTTGGTGCAGTGGTTTGCAGCAAGTTTCTGGTTCACAGACCAGCTGGAGCATTTGTGTTTTTGTGCTTCCTTTTGCTTATTCTTGCCGAAACCATACATTTTAAGGTTAATTTGTAATTCTAGTTTGTCACTAAAGAGCATGAATGGTTCTTATTTGTCTTACTGGAGAAATACGAAAAATCCTTTTTTTGTTTCAGCCACTAAACACATTTTGTTGTGTACTTGGAGTCTCTAGAAGTGCAGAAAGGTTGACTTGAGCCTCCCCTGATGCAGCACGGATATCCTTACATTCAGTTTGAGTCATATTTTTAAACCCGTTCAGTTTTCTATGACGATTTCTGAACTATTATCATAGAATTCATGACAAAACTGCCAAATATTGTCTGGACTTGTCAGCTAAAATTTGGTGGTCTTCATTCTCCTCTGGCTCCAACATGCAAGTCTGGATGGACAAGTCTTCCTTTGTTGACATCATTTAATAATTTTCTGCATAAAAGAATAAATAAAAAAAATTCTGTGCAGCTATATAGTTGTAAACCCCTCTATCAAACCAGAATGAACTGGTCTGGATGCTGGGGTGGGTGCAGAACCTCATTTGGATTTAAAGAGACAGCCTCAAAATGAGTTGATCTGAGACACACCTGAGAAAATGGGTGAAAGAGGGGCTTGTGGAGTTACATTGTAGTTCCACTTTATGTAGACCCCAAATGAAGGATTTAAATGTGACAAACGATGTCTTATTTTTTTTGTCTTCCAAATCAGGTGTGTTTTGAACAGAGAAAACTCTTCAGCATGCAGGATAGTTATCCTGAAGGATCAGGATTGGACACCCCATCCTACGACCAGTTTACCTTTTGACTCAAGAAAATTTATGGTTGGTCAGAGCCACAAAAAAATCTTATTTTGGATTCATTCTGTCTGTTGAAATATATTTTTGGTTTAAAGGCCTGTGAGAGCTGCTCCATTTGAGTTTGTAAATTACATTTGTTAGATCCTTAAAGTGCTGTACAGCATTTTAAATTATTTTAAATTGTAAAATATTTGTTTTCAAAATATAACTAACTAAACATTCTTGTTTCCTGTGTCTGCCGCAGAGCCTCAGTGTTGGATCCAACTTTGTGTTTGGAAGTGCTCTTGTGTTGCAGTTCTGCAAAAAAAAACCCATCTGTTTAAAGAAAAGAAGTCGAAGAGTTTTAAGTTATCAATGGAAAAATCTGCATTTTGTTTAATGAAATGTGAGGAAATCATGAATGTTTGTTGAAAACATTTTAGAAAGTAGCTCAACCTTCAATTATTTACTGTTACTTACCATTTTTTGACTATCTTGCTGGCATTATTGTTATAACTACCAGTAAATAAAACACATGTTCTACATACTAACATAAAACACTCAGATTTATGACTGCACAGAATGCAATAACTCACATCATATACTCAGTAATACAAAAGATGCATTAGGAAGAAAATTCATAAATCAAAATTCTTGTCAAATCTGATATTGTAGAGCTGCACCTGCAATTGATTTAGGAGTCTTCTTCAGTTCTTTATTTTTAAAACTTCTTAGATTAAAATACTGAGGCGAGGTCAGACTTGAGGTGGAGAAATGTGTCCAGTGATTCTGTTGAATCTCTTCTCACCTTCCTCTACTCTGGGAGTGTTAATTAGTTAAATTTCTGCAGCACTAAGCAGCTCCCACAGCTGTTTATTAACTTCAGGCTTCATGACTCAGTTTGTTATTCTTTAAAAACCGAGCCACACTAACAAGTGGTAAGTCTGAGGACTAAACCTACTCAATTTCAACATTTTAACATGATTTGAAGGTTTTAAATTTTGTAGTGTGCATCATGGAGATTTTTAACTTTTATTGCTCTAAATTAACTTAAAAAAGCATAAATGCACAAATCTTAATTTAAAGCTTCCTATTTTTTAATGTCATCTTTTTGCACTGAGGCTTCAGCGCTAACCACTGAGCTGCCGTGCTGCTAAATGCAACAGCATCAGAATATTAGATTTATTGAAGTGCATAGAAACAACTCTTCCAGGGATGGTTTCCTCCATGAACACACCTGGTCTTAAATTAGGATGAACCAAGGCATTCTTTTACATGAAAATTATATATATTATTTTTAAAATGCGAAACCTGTCACAATACTGTAGAATACACCTTGTTTTATTGTTAGAGAGCACTTATTATAAAAAGTAGATTCTACATTTGCATGATCCATTTTCATATCTGAGCAGTGTTTAAAGAACTGGACAATCTTGAAGAATTTCCACTCATGTAAATAGTCGAGGTCTTGAACGTTTTCAATCACATCTCGTTCATCCATGAGTTGGAGGCAGGGGAGCCGACGGCACTGAGCTCTGCAGATTCCAGGAAGAGGCGGGTTCCCTCCTCCAGTTTGTTTGTGCCACACATCTGAAGCATTCCTGAGGAAGGAGGAGGATGAATCTCAAACTAAATAACTTTTTACAGGACTGGGAGGCTGGGGGTTGTAACAAACTACTCTGTTTATGACAAACGCTTTTCAGGAAGATTGGAAACTGAGAGAATAAAGATTTCGGTGCGTCTGCTGAAGTCTTTTAGACAGGAAACATTCAGAGAACCAAACAGGACAGACACACAAGTATGCAACACACACACACTCACTCCGTGTGCCCCTTACTCATTTCCTCTGGAATCCAGATTTCAGCCGATTGTCTTTTTTTTTGTGATGAGCTGTTCTCAGTTTTTTTGTCTTGTCAGCACATTTTATGCTGACTTCACCTTTTTTTATTTAATTTTTCTCCTCCTTTGTGAAACCTTCTGATCCTGAGAAAGAACCTTGACAAAGTTAATGCAGTAGACATCTTTAGGACTTTACATATTTATTGCCTGCGTGTCAAGAAAGGCTACAACTCTGTCAATTTTGTGGCTGAGCTAAAATCTGGTGTGGTTGTAGCTGAGTCATCCTCAACACATCAAGTCCTAACCAACCATTTAAGATCTGTGCTCAAATCTTTGGTTTAAGGCGGCAAACGAAACACATTCCTAAGGAGGAATCCTAGTTTCATTTGTATTTAATATTAGCTGAACTTTCCTTTTTTTAATGTAAAAATTTATCCATGTTCAGAGATCGTTCTTGGCAGTCTGCTCGGGTTAATGCCATCTGATACTTGTCTGTTTGAAAGGTAAAGATGGGGTTAATAGGAGATTTGTGACCCTGAGTAGTTTAAGTTTGTTGAAAAGTGAAGGCTAATCACAGTGGATTAAAAACAAACTCTTTTAGGTTCTCTGTTTAACGGTCTGGAACATGCAGGATAAACACATACAAAGGAGGTTGTTGGGCTTAAATATGTGGAGGAAACAACTGATGAAGATGTCACATTTTTTAATTAATTTGTGCAACTTTTGACAAATATAACCAAGCTTTAAAACAATTCAGAAACTAAGTGACAAAATTTATAAGCTTTTTTTTTTAAACAAAAACCTGCCTCTTGTTGTCTTATTGATTGACATCCAATAATGTATCTAACAGATGGTTTAAGTTGCTGGACAAGACGGGCAAGCCCGACAAGGAGCGAGGAGAGGTGCTTCTGGACGTGCAGTTCATGAGGAACAACCTGACCGCCAGCATGTTTGACCTCTCAGCGGCAGGAAAATCCCGCTCTCGCCTGGGCAAGATTAAGGACAAAGTTCGTGGCAAGAAAAAGGAGTCGGACTCGGCGTCGAGCGTCGTGCCGTCCCTAACTCAGGTTCTGACGGACAGCGAAGAGGAGGGAGACGCCGAGGGAAGGGAAGGCAAAGACGGCAAATCGAAGAAGCACAAGATGAAGTCTTTGTTTTCTCCGAAGTCCAACCTGCAGAAGAACATGTCTCAGTCCATGTCTGTTCTGCCGGGGAAGAACTCCTCTCTGAGCGGCAGCCAGTCATCTGGTCTGAACGTCGACTCCTCTGAGGGTCAGAACTCTTTTTTTTTTTTTTCAAATTTATTTATCATAATTATTTTTTTTGTCACTGTCATTAATTTACTCATGTGCTTACAGGGAAAAAGAAGTTCAAGTTTTCGTTACATAAACGCTCCGGCAGCTCAGACGGCAAAACCTCCACCTTCGGCCATCAGAAACAGGCTCCTGTGGAGCAGAGCAACCTGTGCATCAATGGAAACCATGTTTACTGCGAGGAGCCGCAGCCTCGAACGACTCGTGCCGGCTCCAACTTCAGCCTGATCAGTTCAGGCCACGGATCCATGGAGGACGTCCCTGAAGACTCTCCTCCGTCTGTGGACTCTCTGAAAGCAGCGAGACAGTACTCACCCTGGATGGAAGAGGAGGAAGATGCAGATGAGTCAAAGGAGGAAGCGGAAGAGGAGAGACAGAAAAAAGAAGAGACTCTGAGGAGACAGCAGGAGGAGTTGGAGAAATTTGAAAAGGAGAAGCTGAGACGAGAGGAAGAAATGAGATTAAAGGCTCAAAACGAGGAAGAGGAAAGGAAAAGGGGGGAAGAGATGAGGAAGCAACAAGAGGAGCTGCAGAGGCTGGCTGAGGAGAAGCTAAGAGAAGAGAGAAGAGAGGCTGAAGAGGAGAGAGCTAAAAGGGAGGAAGAAGAGAGAATAATAGTTCAAAGGGAGGAAGAGGAAAGAAAAAGAAGAGAGGAAGAAATGGAGGAGATGCACAGGCAACAGGTTGAACTTGAGAGGTTGGCAAAGGAGGAAAAGTTGAAACAAGAGGAAGAAGAGAGGAGACGGGTTGAAGAAGAGAGGATAAAAGTTCAAAGGGAGGAGGAGGAGAGGCTAGCTCAGGAGAAGGCAAGACAAGAAGAGCAAAAACGATTGGCAGAGGAAATGAAAAAACTTGAGGAAGAAAAAAGGCAAAAAGAGGAAGAAGACAGGATTAACAGAGAGGAGGAGGAGAAGGCCCAAGAGAGAAAGAGACAGGAGGAGGAGCACAGATTGGCTGAGGACAAGAGATTAGAGGAAGAAGAAAAGGAGAGGGTTAGAAGGGAAAATGAGAGGGCAGAAGAGGAGAGGAGGCGAAAAGAGGAGCTGGTGAGAAAACAAGAACAAAAGAGACAAATGGAGGAAGAGGAGAGGGCTAGGAAAGAGAGGGAAGAACATGAGAAGTTCATGGAAGAAAAGAGGAGGGTTGAGGCAGAGGAGAAGGCTAGAAAGGATGAAGAGGAAAGAGCCAGGATGGAGGAAGAACAAAGGCAGAGAGAGCAGCAGGAAGAGGAGAGGAGGAGAGAAGAGGAGATGCTGAGGAGACGAGAAGAGCTTGAAAAGTTGGCTCAGGAAAAGCTGAGACAGGAAGAAGAAAGAAGAGAGGCTGAAAGGGCTAAAGAGGAGGAGAGAGTTAGGAAAGAGGAGGCAAGGAAACAGGAGGAGGAAAGAATTAGGAAAGAGGAGGAAATGAAAGAGGAGGCAAGGAGACAGGAGGAGGAGAGAGTTAGAAAAGAGGAGGAAATGAAAGAGGAGGCAAGGAGACAGGAGGAGGAGAGAGTTAGAAAAGAGGAGGAAATGAAAGAGGAGGCAAGGAGACAGGAGG